TTCTGCAGCCACGCCAGCCACAGAATCGGTGCATGGCCAGCGTCAGTCGAACGACGACCAGCATATGCAAGACAACGGACCGGCCAAACTGACCTCGATGAGGTGGAAGAGCATGCGGCTTGCAATACCACACCCGTCCCAGCCAGGCACCACCATAATGTAGGTAATGTATCCCTCGGGCGTCATGAACGCACAGCCAACCACGAGCCGCTTGTACAGCGCCACAACGCTATAGTCGGGAAACAGCAGATTCTCAGACACGTCTATGCTCGGCCAGAACATGTGCGCGAGGGCGTCGTTGACAGCGTCAATGTGCATGTCGTGGAGATACACATAGTCAATGGGCGACTGGCGATGCGGTGGCGGAGGCGATGCGGATGCCCAGGCAACCAAGTCCTTGACGCGTATTGCCGGTGTTACATCTGTGCCGAGATGGTTCGGCGCCTCTTGCATGGCCGAAATAGTCTCAAGCATGGCCTTGCGTGGCGGCCGAGACCCGTAGTCGCGCATAATGTACGGACGTAGCCGCTTGCCCGTGTACGGACTGATGCGGTCCTCAAACACAGTCAGGGTGTCTCGCAGCATCGGGTTGCCATAGAGTTTCGACCGCAGCGACCGGTCGTACGGCGTGGCTATCTGCTTGGCCGATTTGCGGAACCTGTCCAGGACTTGGTTGGATGACATGTCTGGCAGCGACAGTATACGCCAGGATCCGTCTGGCAGGCATACCCGTGCCTTGGCATCGGGCGGCAACGTCATGGGGGTCGGTGCCGGCTGTCGGACGCGCGCATACCGGTTCATCCAGGCATCCAGATCAAACAGCCGCAGTCCCAGCACGCGCTTCTCTGCCTGCAGATGAAGCTTGCGACGAAACTGGGCCAGACTCGGCGTCAGCCACGAAGATGGCATGACGTCCAGTCGAGACTTTATCTCAAACTGGCGTTGGATTGACAGTTGAGGGACACGCTTCTGCCTTGCTCTTGGCGGCCCAGTTGCTATGAGCGTTGTCGATTGCGTTGGTGGTGCTGGTGGTGGTGCTGATGGCTGATGGCGCTGATGGTGCTGCTGGTGCTGCGTCGGTGGTCGACACTGGCGCTGTGGACAGAAGATGCGAGGGAGGTGCTATTGATGATTGCGGCATAGTTGGCGCTGTTGATGGCTTGGCCGGTGTTTGAGCGTCTGCACCGAGAATAGGCCGGCCTTTGGCAAGGAAAAAGGCCGACAGCGAGGATGACTGCGCAGGAGCGGACTCGGATCTAGACATGGGTGCATCACGCGAGATGGATTGATGGCCATGCTGGCTCATCTGCCGCTTGCGTGGCCGGGAAGGTGTTGTGCATTCCTGATCGGTGCCTGATGATTCACTGTCTGACTCGTCTGAGCTGCGGCTTTTATCGCTCGGCGGCCGACTCCTTTGTCGCTTCAGAGGCACAGATGGTTCAGCAGGTGCGTCAAGTGCGGCAGGTGCAGATGCAGACACAGCAGCCATGACAGTACTCCTCTTGTACTGCTGTGGCGGCGTGGTTGTCGATGCGCCAATGACAGCCGAGAAACTTTTAGACACGCTCGAGGCAGTTGGCGGCTTTGAGGCGGCTGGGACGGGTGTCGAGGTGGCAGATCGCAAAGGTGTTCCAGCAGGCGAGGCAGATGCCGACGACTGGGCTTGCTTGCGGACAGACGATGGCGTGCTGTGCGATGCCGGCAGTTCCTGCTTGCCGCGTTTGGTAGGCTTTGACGGCGGCTCCACTTTTTTGAGTGCCCAGTAGCCCAACTGGCCCATGGTAGCCTGGCCAGACAGGAAGAGCTTGGCCTGGGTGGAGAGTGAGGCCGACACTGAGTTTGTCCACGTTGCAGATCCTGTCCAGAAGAGGCAGCACGGCACGCGGTGAATGACTGTGCGCATCTCGTGCCAGCGGAGATCTCAGCGCGGCATACGTGTTCTGTTGGGCTGCAGATAGCCCCAGCACTTGTCAAGGAGAGCGCAAATGTCTTCCTTGAGACGAAAGAACTGGCGGTCTGGCTGTGTGATGTGGAGGTGGAAGAGCGCCATGTGCGACAGAGTCGGCCTGCCCAGACATGCGTCGTGGAGCAAGGCGTGTCAGAATGCGTCCGCTCGGCAGATCGAGCCATGGACGCAGCGGCAACGCACCATGAAATGTTGGAGCGGTTGAGCTCGTCCGAGCCAGTGCCCGTGCAAGAGACGCACTTGTACTCGTAGAAAGAGTCGCCCATCAGCAGCTCTGGAATGGCGACGGCCTTGACGTCCTCTGCAGGGTGGATGCGGCAGGCCCATCAGCAAGCCAGGCTCGTCACAGCCGTTCAACGCAGAGCGACGCAACTGTAGTGAACGCCGATGCTGCATTGGCTGCAGAGCACGAGGCGGTTGATGCCGGTGTCGCTGGTGTTGCTGTTGTCGCTGTCGCCGCTGAGCTCGTTGCTGTTGGAGTCGCTGCTGCTGTTGCTGGGGCCGCCGCCCATCTGCGCTGGACTTTGTGGACGTTGGTGTATTGTTTGGAGAGTTGGACGTGTGAGCTCGCTGCCACTTGCCAAGCTGGACATCACCTGCCATGTATGAAAGCGGTCCTCAAGACGCTCTACACGTCATCTACCGCATGTGCACGATCAGGCAATCTGCTTTCTAAGCCGTTCAGTGTCATACGGCGTGTCTGCCAAGGCTGCCTCTTGTTCAACCTGTTCGTCAATGGCATTCTCGATGGCATCTCCGAGATCAGCATCCAAAGACCATCGCATCTGTGCGAGGACAAGTGCGGCAATCACGTCTTCATTCCAATGCCAAGGAGCGGCTCTTGGCTATCCATTCATCCCATGATAGACGCTTGATGATTGCAGCTCCTTGATGGTCGACTCGAGCTGCTCAATGATAGCCGTGTTGCCGTGTTCTTGTTTCGCCCGGGCAAGCACCTCTTCTGCCTGATCCAGTGTGAGGCTGCCAAGCAGAATGTTCGCGATGGCGGCATTCTTGGCGCAATCGAGTGCTCTGAGCCCAACCGCATATCCGCAATCCAGCAAGTACCGCAGCGTCGCAACATCGCCCGCTATGGCCGCACGCACAACGGGATTGCTTGATGCGCGGCCGCCTATGGAGTGAATGTACTTGACCACGTCCAAGCGTCCCTTGCTGATGGCGGCATCGAATGCGTCCGGCGTGCACTCTTCGCCGCGGGTCTCGTGGAGCCACTGCACCATGCCAAGGCAGCCCTGGCTTGCAGCATAGGACATCGCAAGAGATGTGCAGACTTCGGTGCGGTTCTCGTGGAGCCAGATCGCGACACGCAGATGCCCGCGAGCTAGAGCGCCATACATCGCCTGATGCGTGCATCCTTCCGTCCTGTTCTCGTGGAGCCACTTGATGACATGCAAGTGGTTGCTCTCAGCCGCGCCATCCATCGCCCACTTCCTGCATCCCTCTGTCCTGTTGGCATGCAGCCACTTGACGACGTGCAGATGGCCACTGCGAGCCGCCCAGCCCATCGCAAACTCTGTGCATCCCTCCGTCCTGTTCTCGTGAAGCCAGATGACCACATGCAGGTGGCCGTTGGAAGCCGCCCTATCCATCGCAGCAGCCGTGCATCCTTCCGTTCTGTTCTCGTGGAGCCACTTGACGACATGGAGATGGCCGTCCTCAGCCGCGCCGTTCATCGCCCGATATGTGCATCCTGCCGTCGTGTTCTTGTGAAGCCAGATAACGACATGCAGATGACCGTTTGCAGCTGCCTGGTCCATTGCCTTTGTCGTGCACGCAACGCCTGCTGCAAACAAGTACTGCACAACATCGAGGTGTCCGTATTCCGCTGCCTGGTCAATGGCACCAGGCAAGATATCGACTCGCCACTCGTGCTTGGCCATCCAGTCATGGATTATGTTGTACTTGACGTCGAGATGCCTGAGCAGATCGAGGCAGCCAAAGCGGACGGCCAAGCGAGCGAGTGCGATCGGATACGTAAAGTCGAGCAGGTCGAGCCAGCCGTGCCGCATGGCGATGAGAAGCAAACGGTGGCAGTAGCGAGGAGCGAGAAGAAACTTTCGATCGTAGTGGTTGATGTGTGCGTCTGAGTTGGTATACACTATCTCGGTGTACTGAGGAAAGCGCTTGCAGAGACGGCGGTACATGGAGCGAGAGTGTGCGAGGAGCAGGCCGTTGTCGGCCGTCGGCTCGACGTCAGGCAGCACCGCCAGATCGCCCTGCCAGTCCATCTTGAACGCATCGATCCACAGCTGCAACTTGGTCGCGTCGTCGAGGCTGTCCTTGTCACCGAGCAGGCCACACAGGAAGCGAGTGAGTGGGCCAGCCAGCTTGAGGATCATGGCGTGGATCTCGGCGGGCTTGCCGTCCCAGTGGCTGCTGCCGTAGGCAAGGTCGCCAGTGGCTGGCGGCACCACATAGCGAGGCACACTTGGCTGTGCTGTCGTTGCTGTCGATGGCGGTGCTCGCGTCTGTCCCGGCAGGTCTAGCTCGACAGCTTGATTGCCGCTCGCTGAAACGACCTGCTCGACCACGGCCAGCACAATGTCGGTGCGGCCAAGGGCAACCAGCTGCTCGGCTGTGCTCTGCAGCTGGCTCTGCATTCGTCGCGCATGCTCGCTGTCGTCCGTTGTCTGTCGCCTTGACTTTCGCTTTGTCTGTTGCTCTGTCAGCATCGCCATCGCGCCCGCTCGCTTTGTGGTTGTGATGGCAAAAGCGGTTTGACGCGATCGGCTCCACCTGGCTTTGCTGGTCCTCTCGCTCGCTCGCTTGCTGTGCGGTGGCCTTGGCAGAAAGCTTGTTGACAAGGCTGCCCGGTGTCTTGCCTCTTGTTCAACCTGCTCCTCAGCGACAACCTTGACGGCACCCCCCAAGTTCATCATCCCCTCTATGGCCGACAATCATGGCATCTGTGGACTGATGTTTGCAGCAGACGAGGTCATGCTCAAAACAATGCTCCTTGAACGTTTAACCAAACAATGTGTATAATGTACATATCGGATTTTCGGAACGAGAAGGTCCCGTGGCCCAGTGGATAAGGCGTCTGCCTTCTAAGCAGAATATCGTGGGTTCGATCCCCACCGGGATCGCACCTTTGCAATGTTTTGCTTGTTTCTTTTTGCATCTCGTCGACCCGATCGAGGCATGGACAGCACTCTCAGCAGGCAGCCAAAGCCGTGGCACAGCAGAGGGACGTGTGCACAGCCACCCCTTCTTCAGCTCCTCTCGCTTGCCTGTTGTCATTGCCATTCATGCACCACTCGGGTGGCAGTGCCATTTATGCACCGCTCGGGTGGCAGTGGCAAACATGCACAGCCATCTGCACCAATGCTTTTGCAATTGAAAAGCCGCCGGTCGCGCTCCTCGTCGCGCTGTCCCCATCCGTCTCCCGCATGGCCATCCTCAGCGCACTCAACTCCCTCGCCGACTCGCTCCAGCGCCAGAGCCAGCTGTCTCTGGCCGTCGCTGCTGCCGCCGCCGCCGCCGTGCCGCTTCTGTACTGGCTGGCCGCCGCCCTCACGCCCACTCCGCCGGCCGCCATCCCCAGACCGCCTGGCTGGCCCATCCTCGGCAACTTTCTCGAGTTTGCTCCGTGAGTGGTGCATGCCCCTGCGCCGTCACTGCTGTCTCTGATAGCTCTGACAGCTCGCTCGGCTCACACTCTGCTGCTCTGCCGCCCTTGCTCTCAGATACGCCAAGGGAAGAGCCTTCAAGTACTTTGACATCCTGGCCAAAAAGTACGGCGACCTGGTGGCCTTTAGCATGCTCGGCGAGTATTGGATCGTCGTCTCCGACCCTGACTTGATCAAGCACATTCTCACGACCCCCGACGAGTTTGGACGCCCTGCCTCCCGTGATCGTATTGCAAGGTTGGTCACGACTGTCCTGCTCACGGCGTTGATGCGGATGATGCTTTGGATCCTGGCCAGCCTGCACGTTGGTGCAGTCGATGCCCATCCACCAGGCTGACCGCATTGGCCCATGATTGCAATGCTCCAACCACAAACAGCGGCGTGCTCGACCATGCGCTGTTCATGCTTCCCACCAACGACCAGTGGAAGCGCCATCGCAAGCTCATCCAGCCGGCTTTTGGCCCCAGCCATCTGCGCCAAACCATCACAGCAACCGCTGATGTGGTGAACACGGTCGCTGCCGACCTGCGCGTCCTGATCAAGGCGTCCACCTCGCCCAACGGCATCACAATCGACTTCCACGAGTACATGGCCGCCCTCACGCTCGACGTCATTGGCAAGATCGGCTTCTCCAAGAACCTCGAATCCGTCTCCAAGCTCGGCACCAGCGACCAAGCCATGGCTCAAAAGAACCTGTCTGCCACCATGGCCATTGTCCAGAATGTACGCGGCTTGGCATCGTACATGCATCTGCATCTGCATCTGCATCTGAATCTACATCTGCACATGGATTGACTCCCCGCATCTTGCGTGCCTTGACTGCAGCGTCTGTACACGCCGCATTTCCTTTGGAAGCGGAACGGAATCGCCTCGGACTCTCCAGAGGTTGCCAGCGTGCGCAGCTACACCAAGAAGCTGGTCCGAGATGTCATTGCAGAGCGTCGTGCTGCAATGATCAGCGGCAACCATGCGGAAAGGAGCAAGTGGGACATGGACGTGCTCGACCGTCTCCTTCTCAACTGCGACGACCCGTCTGTGTCGCCCGAGAACGTGAGTGATCGCCATCGCGCATCGCGCATCACTCATCTTGCACAATGCAGCGCCATCTGTCTGACCGACTGCCATGCATTGCCTTGCCCAGCGAATGACCGAGGACGAAGTCATTGGAGAGACGCTGGGCTTCTTTGTTGCTGGCCACGAGTGAGTGTCTTACCAGGATGGCACACCAACTTGCGATGCACTTACACATGCCAACATTTTACTGCAGGACGTCTGCCAATACGCTCACGCAGCTGATGCTTGTGCTTTGCGAGCATCCCGACGTCATGGCCAAGCTTGTTGCTGACATTGACCGTGTCTATGCAAGCATTGACGGCAAGATCACCATCGAGAATCTCTTCCAGTTCAAGTGCGTCATGCCACGACCATGCCTTATCACCGGCTATTGTCTGTGAAGCATCATGACGGATATGCGGATACTGACATGATCCAATCCAGGTACCTTGACTGGGTCGTCAAAGAGTCGATGCGCTACTACCCGACTGTCCCTGTATTTTCCCGCACGTCCGTCAAACCTGTCACGCTCAACGGTGTTACGTTCCCTGCTGGCATCGTCTTTTCACTCCGCTTCAACGGCACCATGAAGGACCCGCGTTTCTGGAAGGACCCCGAGTCGTTCATTCCCGAGCGCTGGAACGACTTTACTCCAGTGCCAAACACGTACAGTCCGTTTGGCGAAGGCGGCCACATCTGTATCGGCCAGAAGATGGCCAACGTCGAGATTCGCGTGGCTGCCATCCACCTGCTGCGCAACTTTTCGTTCAAGCTGGTCGAGGGCCAGACGTTTGAGTTTGTCACGTACATCACGTCGTCTCTCAAGAACGGCTTGCATGTCGCAGTGACCGAGCGTGCTCACTGAAGACGGCGCCGTGCCTTGGATTGCAAGATGAAGTCTACGGGCACTTGCTCAATAACATCATGAGTCAGATCTTGGTATGTCATTGTGTGCAGTGCTTGAGAGCCGGCCAGAAGCCAGGCATGGATGAAAGCATTGCAGGCGTTGCTTGTCGTCTGCAAGACCCGGTCAGCGTTCGAGCGAGTTGGATGGTGGCGAAGCTGAGATTTCTGGATGTAGAGAGTTGCAGTGATCACTGCCTGTCGACTGGAGGACGATGGCATGTTCACGCAGTACTCACAAAAGGCCACCACCACGGCCAGCACGGCCAGCACGATCACGGCGATCACAGCGATCATGTTAGGCGGGCCAGGGCAAGACACGAATCTCGCGTGGATCCAATGTATTCAGCAGCAGGACGCCTTCTCCCGGACGTCTGCCAAGGCGTGCGTTGCATATTGCCGCGTCTGGTACAGTATAAACGTGTCGTCACGCTGCGAAGCGTACAAACGCGGCGGGTATGGCCGTTTAAACAAATGACATTGCATCTAAGCACGTTGTATCACGTCACATTACAACGCATTCATTACATCACATCCCATTCGTTTCATCACATCTCATCTCATGCCGGCTGCTCTTTGCCCCTGGCGTTTTGCTTTTGTCTCCACGTTTGTCGCCACGTATGTCTCCACATGTGAGAGGCGTCTGTGAGGCGTCTGGAGGCGTCTGGAGCGTCTGAGATGCGTCTGGCGCGTCGGAGAGCTGGCTGACAGGCCCTGCACGCTCTCTACTCGCTTGATGCGGGAAATGCAGAGACCACAAGTCTAGGTCGACGCCAGGCGATAGACACGGTGGATATGGCATCCCACTCTGAGCATCTGGGTCTGGGCCGTGCTGTTTGGCGGGTGCGCCGTTGACGGGCGCCTCGAGAGGTGTTTTCCAATTCCGTCGTCTTGCCAATATTCTGGCTCGCTGTATTGGCTGCTGCTGCTGCTGCCGAGCCAAGATTTGGGGGCAGGCAGGCCGGGCCATGCTTTTGGAGCTGCTCACGGTCGCGCAGGCAGATATGCGTGCGACTGGCAGCGCATACTGGAGCAGCACCGCCGCAAGACGCTGCTGCTACTGCTGCTGCTGCAGATGCAGGCCGTGAGAGCAGCCAAACAGCTCGACCAGAGAGCGCTGCTGAATGCGTTGGTGCGTGAATGCGTGAGGGCCTGAATGCGCGAGGGCGTGAGGGCGTGAGAACGGTATTTTCAGAAGCAACGGCGGAGTTCTGCTTGGGCAGGAGCAGCGCAGGAGCAGCGCAGCATTGGCGGGGCGAGTCGGTACGCATGCAGCGGCCGTCTGTCGTGTCCATCTTGGCCATGGCCGTCAGGACAGAAGCGGCGGTCGGCCTGTGTAGACTGCGGCCCGTCCCGCTCGCCGTTGTTGCTGGTGTTGCTCGTGTCGCTCGTTGCTGGCTGGTAGATGCGCATTGGGCGTCGGCGGCTTCTGGCGTATCTGTGGCATCTGTGGCGTCTCGACCCAGCGCCACGGCGAGTATTCTGCTCGTGCAGGTCGGCTCTCGAAGCAGTTGCTTCTCTGCCGAGGTGCTTATACGTCGGCTTCACTGCCTGTCAACTGGCAGTTGCCAATATCCAAGCGCTTTCGCATGCCCGTCTCGCACAAGCCGCTGTGTCGAGAGCATTGGTGGGGCGACTAAGCGACGCATGGATAGGCAGCAGGCGGAGTTGGCTGTCGTGCTGCTCATGGCCAACTCCGATTTGCTGCGTCAGGAGTTGTCGATTCCGGTGGCGTGGGTCTGGCGGTCGTGGAGGGCAGGGAGAGCAGGGCGTTGAGAGGCGCGTGGCCGTGGTGTGGCTGGACGTGACGTGACGTCCGCGCGTGGATTGCAGATGAAATGCTCGGCAATGGCAGGAGGCTCGCGTCAAATCGGCCCGCACTCCCACGCCTGCAAGCAACCATGCGCGTCGTGATCGGAGATTGTGGAGAGCAGCTGGTGGAAAGCAGCTGTTTGTGGGGGACGGTTGTGGCCGAATGCAGATCCCTGTCGTGGAAACATCCAGCGGTTAGGATGACGACGCGGTGGAGAGAGGGCAGTGGGGAGAGAGCGCGATCGAGAGAGCGCGGTGGAAAGAGTGTGGTGAAGAGAACACGGTGGAAAGAGCGCGATCGAGAGAGCGTGATCGAGAGAGCGCGGTGGAGAGATGCAGATCTGCAAACAATAGTCTCACCACTGCGGTGATGCAAAGGAGCAGCCGGTCCTTATCCACGTCTGCTTTGCAAGCCCGCGTGGAACAAAAATGAATTGGGATGCAGATCTGCGGCTCTGGTCCGCATGGCTGCGTTCGTCTCGAGTACAGGCGAGTGAGCGTGCATGCAGAGACAGCGAGCCAGCAAAGCCGAAGCAATTGGGGAGATGCGGAGGAATCGGCATCGCCATGATGCGCAGACAGCAACTGGCCGTTCACCGATCCAGTCACTGTTTGAGCGTCATGGCGTTGCACGGCGAAATATTATGGATAAACGTTGGATAGTACGGCGAACGCAGAGAGTGGAGAGA